AGCAACTCATTCTCATCTGAGTCTGGTGTATCTGCAACACCAACTATTTCTTCATTGTCATATTCATTTGCTAAGGTGTATAATTCATCTTCATCATCAGTGGATGATACTTCATCTTCTAAGTCGCTTTCATTATGGTTAATAGTATCTAAAATGTTCTTTACTTCACTTGTAGTGTAGAACGTCTTGGAGGAATGTGCCATTCTGTTAAGAAGAAGAAACAATAATTATTTACAATTTAAAAAAATACATTCAAATATTTAAAATAATCACTAGATCTAGGTAGGTAGATCTAGATTCTAGAACTAACATTCTAGATGCCTAAATTGTGTAAATAAAACCATATCTTGCAAATGAATTAAATAAATATAAAATTTAATTGCTAAAAATATAAAAATAAAACTATTTTTTTTGTTTGTATAAATAAAACAACAAAAACCATATGACAATTTCAGAATTTGGTTACATTGAACATTGTGCCCCAGTAACCATTAATAATAATAATGGCTGCCATTAAAGCCCACTGGGTCACCAGTAACCCAACAAATTTTGAACGTCTAAAACTAGGCATTCCGACTTCCGCTGTTTCGATTCGGTATTCAACATCCGGACTTTTCGATGCAGTCTTTATAAAAACTCGCCCTTTTTCCGAAGAATGCCGAATCTCAATGTTGGAATCGAGTTTTTAGAAATATTCGATATAGATATTCTAGTGTAGTCGTATTATATGTTTCAATTAGAAAATTACCGCCATTATGACAATCTTTAAGCCGAAATCGATCGCACGATTCTAATGAGTTTATCTCGCGAACATGTCCCGTACGGTGCTGTCACATTTTAAATAAGTTTACGTATTAAACCCTTTATAAGTGTCTTGCCATTAGTTGTAAGTGTCCATTAAATAAACAAATATTATTATAATAGCGGTTTTATGGCACTTACTACTTCTGCTTACGAGTTATCATACATGTCAAATCCCCGAGCTAGCGCTTCGGCCTTGACAACGCCATGGCGTCGGTTTAGCACCGCATTACCTATTATCGATAAAATACGCGCACTAATGCCAATGACGTAGTTTTCGAAGTTGGAAAGAATTTAAATTGTGGGTGGCACTGTTAAAACTAGATAAAATACATTGATCAAGTTATCTATTAAAACCGACAGGCAAGAAACTTAGGCTTACATTAAATAGTGTTAAGCATTTCACACATACCTACTTACTTAATTACTTAGATTTAAGGCTAATACTAATAGCCTTTAATATACTATTATACTTTATACTATAAATAAGTTATAGGCCTATTTCTTAGTATAACTAATGCTATATAGTATATGTATCGATTGATAAAGTAAGTCTGGGCCTATTATTGGTTATGATAAGTAAAGAAGCTTGGTGATAAACTTATTTAATTATTTGTAATAATTATGCTTATGACATTAGTAAATAATTAACAAAAGGTGCAGCAATTGACATGGGGGGGGGTACTAATTAATAAGGCAGTGAATTTAGAATGACATGAAAAAGGCATGATAATTATTATTCATAATAATTTAGGATACAATTTTTACATTAAAAATAAAAAGTAACAAAAAACAACAACAAACAATACGGATTTAAATCACTGCATGTTGCCAATATATATATTCATATAAGCAGATAGACAGGGAAGCTGTAACTTCTGCTTTGGTACAAATTAACACTTAGCTTAATAAACTTTTACAAGAATTTAAGGTTTTTCTATTGATTAGTAATTTAGTTGTACCAAAATATCAATAGGGTCTTATAAAGGCCCTAGTATATTAAAGTAGTTTCCCTTTTGGACCTGTCAATCCATCATCCATAAAGCAGCTGAAGTAGAGTTTATCTGTTTCTTGACCACTGCACATGAAGTGATGGTATGGTTAGCTCTCTGCCAAGCTATCTTTACTTTCCCTTGGGTCAGGTACTCATCTGAGCTTGGTGGATGCTGCACGCTGCACAGACAGACTCGTCTGAGATCTGAGCTTAAGACTTGCATGTTAGTAGTTGAGTGCTTTACCACACCATCCCTAGTTTTATTTTTCAGCATTCTTCTTATTACATGCTTCAGTATCAATAACCAAAATGTATCCTATTATAGTAACATTCTGGACATACGTCCGTTGCAGTCACTATAATTACTATAAAAGGGTGCAACACCCTTTCATAGGACTTTTTAATTATATGCAGTCATACTTAATATAATTTTTTTCTATATTTCTATTGCCCCCACCCTCTAGCAAAGTTTCAATTTTAATATTAAAAAAAAAACATAGACTTTCAGTCTGCATATTGACCTATATAGAACAGCACCCCTCACTTTAATTTGACTTGATTAGTTCTAATTATCCTTCATCAAATTTTGATTTTACTTTCATATTTCTATTGCCCACACTCTCTAGCACTAATGTGCAAAGTTTTATAATTATATCTCGAATAGCAGCAGTGGTATGCAAGCCTAAAGCCAATCACACAATTAAATCCGATGTTACAGTGATATATAACAGGTTTAATACATAACTTTAAAAATTCATATAAAAAAAACTATTAGGCCTAGAATGATAAATTTGGTATTTTTATCAATGGGGTGTATTATAGGATTAATCTGTGTACACTTTATCATTCTATGGTAATTAGGAAAAATATCCCAACATTCCTATCTAAAACTAAAAATTAGCCGTACTTTTTATTAATATTGACATTTAAAGTTATTAATTAATATATTTTAAATTAAAATAAAACGTAAAAAGTATTTATAACTTACCTAAAATGATGTTTTTATTCTTCAAAATCAAGTCGTGAACTGTATTTTTAAATCTGCATGGGAGCCACCATTTGCAAAAGGGAAATTACTTAGTAATATTAAAAATAAGACAACAGAATTAACTCCCTTGTGTACCACAGTATGACCAATGGGCTTTAGAGGTAAAAAATATTTTAAAAATGCATTTTGTAAAAAAGTGTGAAGCTTTCAGCCAGGTGGGTCACCGGTGACCCGGTGGGCCTCAGAGGGCTAAACTAAAGCCAAAACCAAAATCACCACCTTAATAAAATTTAACCGGAAACGAAAAATGACATTGAAAACGGATTTTTATCCAAAATCGTCATTTTTATGTCTATAATGTAAACTCGTTACATCGTTTCCTACTTTTGGCCGATAAACCTCACTCGCGCAGACAGTGTTTCTTTCAGATATTTTTCTGGGGGTGGGCACTTGAACTTTTGCAGAAGCGAATAAAATTACCCGAGGCGGGGGAGGACGACACTGGTAAAAGTAAAATATATTTTCTATATCAATTGTATTTCGTTTTTTTAGGCGGAGGGATTAGACGTTATACCGTGGCGGGGGGGGGGGGGGGGGGGGGGGGTAAATGGGCTTCGCCCCTACCCGAAGAGATGCATGAAAGAATCTCGGCAAGCAAACCACTTTCTAGATTAGACACATGAATTAGGCTGCAATTTTGTTATAGAGTATCGATGACGACATTTCTTTTGAGTTGGGGGAGGGGGGCGGCTTAGACGTTCTTACGCGGGGAATGGGCTTCGCCCCTACCCGAAGAATTGTATGAAAGAAACTCTTCACGCAAACAACTTTTAAGCTTAGATAAAATTGGCTTTTTAATTCAATGTTTAGTCGAGAATCAATGACGTCATATTACTGTGTTCACTCTCCGGCTGTAGACTTGTTTCTACTATATATGTGACGTCATATTTCCTTTCTGTTTTACTATGAAAGTTTTTATTTTGCTTGTGTTTTCTCTATAGCGTTCTTGTCAGATACATAGATAGATAGATACATAGACAGACAGCAAAACTATTAGTATAGACGAGAAAAATGGCCCGTTGAGGAAGGATACAACGGACGCTAGGTTGATAGTGCTGTCTATTTTCTCTAAACTAAAATCAACCCCCCCCCCACACACACACCCCAAAACATGTCTACCGTCCCATTCAACGAAATATAATTATATACTTTTTCCAGTGTCCGCCCCCTCCCCGAAAATTCTACCCCCGCCCCCGAAAATTTCAAGTACCCCACCCCTCTCCATGGAAGAAAAAGTCTGAAAGAAACACTGGTCGTATTTTTAGATCATACAAACTAAAGGAAGAACCTGGTGCCTAAATAGCTGAGATGATAGTGTACGTAATACCACGCAGGTGGTGTGGGATCGACACACACCAAGTCAAGCTAATTATTGATTTTTTATATGTGAATCTTCCGGTTTTTGACTATATAGAAAGGAACTACTGCATTCAAATTTGATTTAGATCTAGATCTATAAATCTACTCATCGCTATGAAAAATATACAATTTTATAGGTCAAACTAATGCAAATTACTTAAAAACAACATAATGACCTTTGAATAGCCAGATTTTTAACAGAATCATTTAAGTCACTTAATCGGTGTGTGCCTGTGTTATGTTAAATGTGTCGGTTTTTTAGCTAGTTAGTTATTTCTTTGCTTTGTCACTAATATCGGTCAGCGTGTAGTAAAGCACATTGCGTTTTGACCAATAACTATTTCATAAATTATTTTTCTCAAATAGGTACAACATTTTAAAATATATAGATCTAGGCCTATAATTCACGTGAAACGGGTACACGTTTTTTTTCACAAATTATTTTCTAGGCTACAGTTTAATTTTGATAATTAAAATTAGCAACAAATTAAAGGTACATAAATGTAGTTTTTAGTTGTTTTTAATTCATCTTCAACAATAATGAAGTTTAAAATCTTAGGCGCCACCCTACTTAGGCCTAAAAATGTGCGTGTTTTTAATCAATCTTGGATGATCTTTTGTTCCTTGAAAGCAAAAAAAAAAATACTCCATCTCTGTAGAATACTGTGTAAATCTAGAAATCTGAAATCAACCACTTTCTGTAATTTAAACGACGTTAATTATTAGAATAGTTTTTTTTTATATCTAGATCTAGATCTAACAATCTACTCTACATTGTCCTATTTTTTAGAATTCTAGATTCTAGATAAGATTGTTTGTTGGTTTCACATCACAGTGCAGAAAAATGGTGGTAAGCGAGTAAAATGATTTTACTATTTTTACTGTCTTAATTTCTTAAACTACTCTTAAACTTTAAAAAATTAATGATTCTTAGATTTTCTAATTATAATAATTAATTTCTTAGAATACTTTACACTTTACTTACTATATCTATATCTAATATAATATATAGTATTATATAGTCTAGACTACTCTAGACTCTAGGTCACGGGTTCCCAACCTGGGGGCCGCGACCCCCTTGGGGGTCGCGAAGGTCTTTCTGGGGGGTCGCCAACTGGTATACTAAACCTTAGTAATTTGAAACAAAACATAAATATTTAGAAGAATTTTTGAAATTCGGCTTCATTAACATCACTGGAAATGTAATAGAGAAGAAACAAAGCGCACTGTACAAAGTTGTTAACAGTCACAAATCGATGAAATCTTCAAAACTAAAACGCCATTTGAGACGAGTCATTCGGAACACACCAAAAATATATGGAATTCTTTCGTCGGTAAGAAGCTAGTTGCAAACGCCAGAGACTTGATCGAACAGGAAGTTTCCACCAGCATTAGTGCAAGCATCAAATGAAGTCGCGATAGACAATGCAGAGCAAAAAAAAAAAAAACGCTGCATGTACGTAAATGTTAAATAACACATTTTTATTGAAATTAAGCTTTCACCATTGTTTGCTTTTCAATTTGATAAATCAACAGACATGAGTTCGTGTTCGCAGTTGCTGGTCTGTGTCTATATTCATGCGGATGATAGCAAAGAAGAGTTGCTCTTTTGTGAAGATAGTATGGAGAAAATAAATACCTTTTTTGAAACTGGATGATTAAAATGGGTTAGAACGGCTGTGGGGGTTTGTACGGATGGTGCGCCATCTATGTTTAGCTCAAAATCGGGCTTTCAGAAAACAGAAAAGATTTAGCTCCCTAACCACTGCCCTAACCAATCGACATCAAGAGTCCATTGCTAGTATAAGTCGTAAATTATATAAAATCTGGAGCCTTCAAAGAACTGAGCAAAAACATTAATATAGATCACGAGGTTCTGCTCTTCTACACTACAGTACGCTGGCTGTCAAACGAAATGTTGTAAATTGTGTTTTTGAATTGAAATCTGAAATCAAATTGTTCTTGGAAGTGCAAAGGAAATAAGGATTTTTTGGTATACTTAAAACGATATAGAGTGGTTGGAGAGAGTATAATACCTAGCAGATGTGTTCGAACATCAAGATAAGCTTAACCTGAAGCTTCAGGGAAAATGAACGAATATTATAACTTTCCATTATAATCTCGGGGCATTTTTATCAAAGCTGCAAAATTGGTAAAGAAAATAAATCTTGGATATATTGTAAATTTGAGAAATTCTGCGGTGTGGTAGATGAATCTGATTGTGAGATAATTTTGAAAGAAGCGATTTCAGGGCATCTAGAATCTCTTGAAAACGAACTGCAGCGCTATTTCTCTGAGCTGAAAAAAGAAGAATCTGCATTTACGCATTACCCATTCTCTTCTTCCCTTGATGTTGCCAGCATTCCCGATGAATTACAAGATGAACTCTTTGATTCGCAGAATGATTCCGAGTAAGATGAAAAACTGCAGACACAATTTTGGTCTAGTATTCACCATTCCTACCCAAACGTAAAATTGATTGACTTTTCGAGAATATATTTTCAACACTGTTCTTCGATTAAAAACCAAAATTAAGATAATTATAATGACATAGGTTGGAGTTAACAAAAAATTTTTTTAAATTAAAAACTTAACCACGAAGGTTTAGTGAATAGTGTGCAATTTCACTCATGCTATTAAAATAGTTATCAAGAGTAGTTCATATTGAAAGTCTACTAGAAAATCTTATTTTAGTGCTTATTGATTTCCATTCTAATTTCGGCTTTTTAATTCTATGGGGGTCGCGGGTCACTTACTTTTTATAAAAGGTGGTCGACACTCAAAAAAGGTTGGGAACCACTGCTCTAGGTAATCTATCTAGAGTATTCTAGAGATCCTAGATCTAGATCTAGATCTAATCTAGAATCTAGTACTAGAATCTAGTAGTAGATCTAGATCTAATCTAGATCTAGATCTAGAACATTTAACAAGTTCTTTCTAGATCTAGAATCTAGTAAAATGTTGTCTAAGACTAAGTTAAAAAAAAAAAGTTAGTTGGGAGAATTTTTATACCGGTGTCCGATAATGGAATCTTTTGAAAAAAAGGGTCTATAGGTTACTGGTAGTTAACTAAATACGCATATGGCTGGCTAATGTCAGTGCTAACCCTAACCCCAACCCTAGTCCTACCAACCCTAATTTCTAACCATAAAATTAGTCGAGATTACAATACTACTAACAACCCAACACACTTATTTTATGGAAGAGTCTATTATCGGACATCATCCAGTTCGTCTATTCATTATATAGAAAAAGATTAGCCAAACCTTAGGCCTATTTTTTTTTTTTTTTTTTTTAAATCATGCTTTTTTTAAGGTCAATTTTCTCAAAAAATGGCATCTTCAAAAGCATTAGATTTAAACCTGACAGGTACAATTAAACGTCCTGCTCATAGTAAAAAGCAATTTTCAGACTAGTTTTTAAATAGAGCCTAAAAAAATCTAGTGAACGGTTGAAATTTTAACAAGAACAAGAATCTACATGAAATAGGAAAAAAAAATACTAAAATTTTCTTAGTATTTGACCACAGTGTCAGTAGACCAGCTAAGTCTCCGATCAGGAACTTGATGGAGGCATATTGCAGGCAAGCATATTTTGATATATATGTACTTGGTAATATATCATCACTCAGTTGAGTCCATTTGACTGAGGTCTTCTTTGCAGCAGACTGGTTGGCAAAGTACTGTTCTATGTACACATTTCGTTAAGTGACAAAGTCATCTATGCACGCGTTGGACACAAATAATTTGATATTGTCCAATGGTAGACCATGGGACGAAGTGGTCGGCTGATAGAGTATTTGACAGCTAGTTCGAAGGTCATGAGTTTGGATCCTGGTTCAGTCTTGTGACTGTAAGAAGTCTCTTGAGTCCACCCAAATCTGATGGGTACCTGACTCATGTTGGGAAATTAAAGGCCGCTGGGCACAGTGCTGACCACACCATCCCTTCATATGCAGAGGTCGAGAAACATGAACTCTACTTCATCTGTACAATGGATCGCTGGGTCTAAAGAGTAATCTTTACTTAATTGGTAGACAGCAGGAATGACAAATATATAGCATTCCTTCAACTGCAGTAAACAAGCCCTTTTTGTCAGTCACATCAGTCAACTGATATCTCCATTCTGATTCCATGTCAGTTTCATCAATGGAAGGAGTCATCGCTGTTAATATCAGATTCTTCTTCATCTATATCCATCTCTTAATTGTTGATTTCCATCAAATAATGCCTGAAAAAACTTGTAAGCCATGTTATTGCAACAATAAAAATCACACAAATATCTCTTAAAACACATTTTGAAAATGAACGACACATGATGAAAGCACCAATTTTTTTTTTATTTCTTCAGGAGTTTTATGCGATAATTAGGCTTTCAGGCAGTGACATCATCCATTTAGCGAGAACACCTGTTTCAGCCTTAGGAAGGTTTGTATTTGAAACCAATTTTTTCTTTAGTATTTATAGATGTAAATGTGTAATGTATTTTGACACACTTTATTAATTTATTGATGTGTTCTTGGTACATTTAGTTACGAGGATGAAAAGTGTATCATTACCAGCAACATTACCAGCAAACCCTGTATTCTAAGCTTTGATGACAAAGGCCAAGTAAGTATTTTACTGATATTTACAAGGGTGCAATTTTTCTGAGGAATTCCCGTTTCCAGAATCTTTTTTCTTCACTTTCTGGATTAGCAAAATCTGAGTTTTAAAAATCCCAGATTTGCTGTTTTTCTTTTCAAACTTTAAAATTTTCACAATTTTAGATATTCCTTTTATTACTTCTGTTTCCTTAGCTGACACATACTTTGTAACATTGCCTTTACTTATAGTCCTTCTTTTTAAGCTAAAAATTATAATACAGTTGTAGTTATGTAAGATACTGTGATGAAATTTTGCATATTGATGCTAGAATGTGTAGATCCTCTAATAATTATAAATGTGTCTGACAATTTCCCAACATCACGCAGACATCTTGGTCGCTGCAACACATATTTTTTTTCTAGGCCTGTGTGGTCTGTTCTAAATAATATTTATTAATAATTTGATAGCTGATGTTATGTATTCCTATTTTGAGAAAAAAATAGCCTTCATCATTTAAACATTCTGCAGGGATATTTAAACAGAATGGGAGAAGCTGCTGTCAGCATAAATGGCCTGGCCCTTGTTATGGATAAATGGCAAGAAGTAAAGCATGGAGATATAATACATGTTATGGGACAGAAGCTGTTTTTCTATTACCCAAAAAACAGTGATTTTAACACTCAGACAAACAAAAGAAATGAACTGGAACTGCCACCGCCCAATTTCTTTAAGGTAATTTTTACAATTTGTTATTGAAAAATAGCACTGATTGGCAATGTGTTTTTTAATTTGACCTCAGCTATTTTTTCCCACAACTGCTAAATTTGTTCACAAAACAATCCTGGAAAAGACTTCTACAGAAACGTCTGACATCCTCATTTTACACAAATGCTAGGTCTGACGACACTAGATAACAATTCAGTGAGAATTTCTTTCTGATATTTTCAGTTAACTAATACTCATCTTGACTCTGAGTTTGTGTTTGGTCCTGCTGGTGTAGGTAAAAACAACGGACAATCTCATATAGGACATATAGCCATATTCCGGCTATGACGATTCTATGGTCCTCCTGATTTCAAAACCAAGGTGAACTCACCGTGACTCCTCAACCAAGTCTTTTTTTTTTGTGAGCAGAGGGGGAAAAATGAGATTGCAACAATTTATTGTGATGCTGTTTTTAATGTGATAAAACCTTGAGTCAGTGTAGTGTTGTGGTTGCTGTGAGAGGGCTTCACCTTTCCAAACCATTATTAATCACAGCTGGTGTTCCACTACCAATATCCCTTCTCATAGGTTATCACTTAGTCACAGACAAGGTTAATACACTTGAGAGAATACTTATTACTTTCTATTTCAAGTTTAATTCGAACGAATAACATTGTGAGTTCAGTATACGAGTGGGACTGGTCATTGACAGGACACTGATTACCTCTGACATCGAAAGCATAACCCATACTCATTGACAGGACATATCAGCAGCATAACCTGAACTCACTTATTCAATACCCAGCCCCTAACTCACTAGCTTTCATTCTATTACAACAACATTCTTTCTAACTTCTACGTAACTATCTCCTTATGTGTGTCACATCTTCATCTGTTCAACATACACCCGCAACAACATTCATTCACACCAATTTATGCTCAGAGAACACACATCATAACTCACGTTACTATCTTTTTATGTGCATCAAATTTTCATTAGTTCACTTTCACCCACACCAACATTCATTCGCATTACATTTAAATTAAGAGGAACCATGATGGTGGCGATTTCATTAAGATGAACAAGATATATACAAGTCTCTGTTCATGGACAATACAAGCATTATTTTATACATTTTATTTAGACCTAGTCTACCTCTAGACTTCACAGTGAGGTAATGGTCAGAGATGCATTTATCCACCTGCACCAACATTCATTCTCACCAATGTATGCATCATAACAGTCTGGTTTTTAAAAAAATCTTGTTTTTCATGGCTTAATCATATTCTATCTTTTTCTGTTGTTTATAAGGAAAAACATTATTAGAAGTTGAAGCAACTAATAATCTATATCTGATCAGGTTGATGGACGACCATCTTTGGTTAAGCAATCTCTTATGGAAGTTGCTCTTTCATATAACCTTGAAGAGCTTGAAAGTAACAGTGATGACAGTGATGACAGTGATGACAGTGAAGATATGGAGGTAATTTTTTGAGTCTCAATACATCACAATACATATCTGCTGTCCCATTATAGAGTGCAATTGTTCCACTAATTATTTAATGTAAAGTCTTCAGTCAAGTCATCACTTTTTTTTAAGTTTCAATTCCATTTTAAAAAAAGTTATTAAATGCTAGTTTTAAATGTTTTGTTAAAATTTATGTAATGAAATTAATGATAAGGCGGTATAAACATTTATTACATCTTTCACATCAAATTATGAATTAACAAATTCAAAATGGCCACAAGATAATTTCTGTGACTGGGTGGGTTCAATTAACTGGGAAAGATCATGCAGTTATAAAAACTATGTTGTAACTGTGTATGCATGAGCTTGTAAAGAAGACTATAAAATCCTAAATAGTTTAGATTATTGCAGCATCAACTCCTGTTAAATCAAAGCTAAGATGAAGGTGAAGTTTTTGTTTTGAAATTAAGAATTTTTCAACATCTTAAATTAAACAATCACGAGCCGACCCGCGATGTATCATACAGCGCTATTTAGTTGTTGTTTTTTCTACTTCTCAGTAATTCATAATTTGTGAATTCGACAGTACCAATGCTGCCACTGAAAATATTTGCTTTAAAACACTCCCCCCCCCCCCCCCCGTGAAAGCAGCCTCTTCTTAGTTACCTCCTCTAAGTTTAAAATCGTTTCAAACTAAATTATCTGCCCCTAATAGCCGTCACTAAACCCGGCTCTACGATTGTAAAATGTAAACATTTAGCGTGAACCACAGCTCACCAGACCATGTGGGGGGGGGGGGGGGTAGCGATAGAGAGGAAGAGAGGCGTCTGCAAGGCGCGCTTTGCAGCTTGTTTTCTAACGTCTCCCTGAAGAGAATTATATATATAGATAGATAGGAAATTTGTTTGTATTCTTTTGTCTCTTTTTATACAGCTGAAACAACAGTCTCAAGAGATTTACTTTTGCCTCTTTTTTGTTCTTCTTATCTATTCTTAATTGTAATGTTGGAAGGAGTTCCCTCTACCACCGCGTTTACACTTATGACATGTATACTAGCCTTGACCTACTAAAGTGTATACTAAACATGTTACGGGTATATAGAACATCTTCTGAGTCGCAGGGCACAAAACCACGCCCCTTTTTATGTTCTGGGTCAAGTTTTTGTCATCGCTCGCTGAGCGAAAACATAGGGCATGTTCTGAATTTTCAGATGAGTGCGCATGCGTCAAAAGTAGTAATCGCATCATAGGTCTCAGCTGATTGCAAAATTAAATATAGATTCTACTTATTTAGAGTTTTTGAGCACACGATTTCATAATTTATAATTTCTCTAGGCCCTGCTAAAATTTACATTTCTATAATCACTTATTATGTCTTTAATTAAATTCCAAACACGTTTTAATGAATGTCTAAGGCATTACAATTTTGCCTCAAAACCAGTTTAGGTATTAATTACGAAAATATTAATTAATTAAAAAATAGAATTGAACCAAATTTATCTCAAATTTTTCCTTGACCAACATATTTTCAGTTTCCGTCTGACATGAATAAATCTTTAGGCCCACCAGAATGTGCTCGTGGGATCACACATAATCAACTGACTATAAAAACAGGCAGATAAAAAAGTCATAGGCTAATTATTTAGGTTTAAAATGGGACATAATTAACATAAAGAAACGAAGTGGGGGGGGGGGGGGGGAAATGTCATAGGCCCTAGGAGTCGTCCATAAATGACGTCACACTCGTAGGGGGGGAGGAGGGGTCCGTAATTTTGTGACGGTTTGTGATGAGGAGGGGGGGGGGGGGGGGGGGGGGTTATGATGGTGCGACGTCACACTTTTGCATTATCAAAGAGCAATGTTGGAAAAAGAATTTTAGACGTTATTTTGCGTTTTAGATAACTGTTTTAATAAATTATAATAGGAATTGATTAAAATACTCTATTTTGACAAGATTTTGGAAAAATATCGATGTTTAAAAACTGCAATTTTGAGGGGTGTTGTAGGCTGAGGTGTGACGTCATTTTAGGGGGGGGTCTGGCTTTTTGTGACAGAGGGGAGGGGGGGAGGTAAAAATCGTCAAAAAAAGCGTGACGTCATTTATGGATGACCCCCTACTCTGAAAACTAGATCTACTTTTATTTTTTATAATAGACTCAGTATCGTGATAACACAATCACAATACGTTTAATGAACTTGGCAGATGCAAGTTTTCGGAGAAATCTGGCCTTTCAGCAAACATATTTAGCCCTGTTTATTGGAAGCTGTTTCTGAAGGATAGAGACTAGCAATTAAAGAAGCTGGGGAAATTGCTACCATGGGGTTGGGGTGGGAAAGGGTGATTGTACTGCGGGATGGGAGCGAGGGGTAATAACAGGTGGGTAATGTCTACGACCCGTGGTATTATACACAGCATTATATTTATAAAAACTGTCTAGCTCCAGTAGCTGGCATAAAATTTATAAAATCTTGCATGTTCTCTAATTTTTAGATAATTCATTGTTGAATCGCAAGCGCCGTGGCTACACCATTTTCCTTTTTAAAAAAATAAAGCTGTGTGCCCACTATCTACGTCTTTTTTTTTACTTTGTTTTCTCTTTATTTTAATTATCTGGGCCTATATAGCAGACGCTCCGGGTCAAAGGCCATGCTTGTTGTATAACATGTTTTTTTAGTGTGAACGCTAAAGTATACATGTTCTGTGGAGAAAATTGTTCCGGATAAAAATAACTTTTGGCGGGCTTTGTGTTTTGGAAATGTATAGTATACATGTCATAAGTGTAAATGCGGTATATGCAGGTGCGACTAATAACCTGTAATTTAACTTTGCGTGTAACTCAGAGAAAAAAAAAACATTTCTTAATGCCAGTGTTTACTGCGTCTATGAAGAAAATTAATGACGTCACATACGATCACAAATGTGCTAAGAGCAAATACGACTGCAAGCATAAGCATTTCTCCTGAAATGATTTCTTAGTGAAATAACACGTTTCTGAAATTCTGTGACATGAACTTATCAACCTCTACAATATTTTGTTTACGCCATCGCATATCTCAAGGAGGAGTGGGGGGGGGGGGGGCATTTGTAAATTAAGAGAAAATAGGATTTTAGAATTGTGTTGTCTCTGTTAATAAATAAAAGCCATGTAAAACTACAGTAGGCCACCCAGTGTGTAATACAGCGACAATTTTTGGTTGGGGGTTGTGCATATAGTAGGCCGATTATTAAATGACAAGACGTTGGGGTTTGCAAAATATTTAGTATTTAACAGTTGGCTGACTAAGCCCTTTGATTAACTGTAAAGGAAGTGCTAGAAGTTAACAATGTCTGGGTATGTTATAAAAGCAGTGTCTATTTCTAAATTTTATTACATGCATCTCAGTTACCCCCACCTATACTACGAGACACCTGCTGCTAAGCAAGCTCTAAGTCTAAGAAAACAGCTAGAAAATACATTGTTGCAGATACCCTGCCAAAACCTCAACCACCAGAAATGAACTTAATAACTTCCTTAACATGTCCTGACTTTATCTTATTACTTGTCCTCTGGTAGCAATACCCCACAACCCCAATATTCTGCCCCAGCTGTAGCAAATATTAGACCAAGTGCTGAACAGCTTAGGCAGCATCATAACTACCTTCAGGCACAGCAAGTTCATCTTAGAGGAGGACAGCTCTTTTGTCTTCAGCTTTCTCACGTGCTCCTTTTTTGTGCAATATCCCTTTTGCCAAGCAACAAGATATTCAGCGGCAGTTTCTGCTAGACATGATACCTAGAGCTAATATGCCTTGGAAGTAGTAGAGCTTTTGGAGATGCACAGCTGCTTAAGTACTCATTAAAATTGATTTATTTCTGTCTCTGTAAAAATGTTGGAAATTTGTTTTGGTTATAGTTATTTAGAACATGTTAGCTTGATAATATTGTTTTTTTATTACAATTTATTTTTATCTCATTAAATAAAAGAAAAAACTCTTCAGTTTGATTATAAATAACTTTATAGATAATACAATTAATCTAACATGTTTCTGAATTGTGTTTGTACATTAATTAACTAATTTAGATTTTTCACAAAAATATTTCTACTCTCATGGTATGCATATTTTTTGTTTAACAATGTTTGGCATCAATTTTTGGGCCATTTTATTGCTTTTGCCTAAACATGTTCTGTCATTTTCATATTGAGAAAGTCCTCATTTTTATCCACCTCTACAGTGTAGTATCTGTAGGACACGTGCTCTTAATCTAAGTGAACCACCTAAACCAGTTATTATAAAAAATTATTTAGCCTTTTCTTTGTGGTCACACATTTTGTATGAACTCAAGTTTTGAACTGGAATGTTTAGTGCCAGAAAGGTTAACTTTTTCACAAAACATCACACTTTATATTTTAAGAATTTATTCATTTCTTCCAGTCAATTTGTTTGTGTTGTGCTTTAAAATCAGTAGCTTAGAAAACTATTTAATATGCAATTTTAATGTAATACTATTTTAAAAATCTTATTTTTATGTACATAGTTGTTCAAAGAGAACAACATTAATGGTTTATGTGTTTTCTGTTTACCATAAATATTTTTCATTAAAAAGTTACAAATATTTGGTTACATTAATTGTAATTTGTGTTATTTTATATTTAAAATAAAACTAGAAGATTAAATATTTTGATCATATGTTTTCTTTTTTTTTTTAAATTGAACACAACCATTCATTCTTAAATTTCCTTCTTTGTGATCACTAATTTTAATTTGTTATTAACAAATGCATCTAATGAATTGGCTTTGTTACAGCTAATTTATTTGGTTTCTTTTCCTCAAAAATAAGCAAATAAAAACAGTCAATACAACATACAGACAATTTTCAGAATTCAACATCTGTTTTAATTAAAAGTGCTGTACACAAAATTAGTCCATGATTATTAGTCAGATGGAATTATTTGACAATTTTTTAATGTTATTTTACTGTAAGTTATTTAAGTTCTATACAAATAAATTCATAATGCATTTATTATAACTACTTGAAGTTGATCATAAAAGTAGTCTTATTTTACTTAGTCATTTCAAGATATTGTCTGCTTTCAAGATACATCATACAAAAAGTTACAGCTAACTATATCATGCTAAATAAGTTAAAATATGTAATTACTAACCATTTTATACAAATACTAGTACAGTATAATACAGTTTATTATAAATTCTTGACAGAATGAGTGCTTAGAAAAAGGTTTAAACAGAAAGCAAATTATAGTGAGAATCTTTTGAAGATTAAAAAAACCAGATTACATAGACTGACTGAAATCAGCATTACAATTCTATTTAAATTAGAGACTGTAAAGAATCTGCTTCAATATAATTGAGTATTTTATAGCATTCTGAGAAATCTCAAGTTCACAAATCTGAATCACTGAAACAAATAAAAGTAACAATAGAATAAAGAAAAAAGGTGAAGAGCCAAAACAACTTTTTATGAAGAACCTTAGCGGGCTTTATATTTTTATTTAGGGCCAGTTATACTTACATTATATATACATATATAATGGTAGCAGAGGGGTGAAAGTTATTAAATATAAAATAAATTTTTGAGCCTTGCATTGCAACATCTCTCCAATTGGCTTTGAAAAGCATAAGCGCTAGAAGGAGGGTATTCTTTAAAAAGATCCTGAAGAAAATTGATTAAATAACAAGCCAGTAAAACTAGTAATAATGATTATATATATATATATATAGTCATATACAAAAGTATAATCAAGAATTAATTTTTTTTTACTTTATAATTAATTAGTACTGGCCACACATGATAATAAGAGACATTGCAACCTAAAAATAATTAAGACTACATTTTGTGACAAGTTACCCGAAAGCTTTAACACATTCCAACTGTTTGTGAATTCCAATACACACTTTACACTTAAATGAGTAGACAAAAACACGCAGTAATAAGATGGATTATTCCTCTGATCTTTTTTTCAAATTTCATAAAATATTCATTAATGCTTTCAAACTATTTTTGTTTTTGACACTAACTTAAGCATAACAGTACACAGAATTTTAACTGACATCTCTTTTATTTAATCTATTAATATTTTAAACACAAATTTAATTCCTCTGGTACACAAACATGTTTTCAAAATATGAACTGGCATGCTAACTATGGCAAAGTTAAAAACCAAAAAGCGCAATTGACAATTACTGCACTTTCAGATGAATGCATTGACGATTAGTTTAGTCTTGTACACAGAAACATAAAATAATCTACAACAAATTAATAACTAAAACAAAAAATATTTCAATTTTAAAAATGTGTATTATCACACTCACACCATAAGGGAAGGGATAATGACAGTACACAAATGAAGAGTTACATTTAATAGAAAATTAAGGATTTTCATCCTCCAAACACTGAAATAAATAGCAATAAGTATTTTAAAGTTCCCCAACCTATTCTTACACTTTCTTGCACACTGGCAATATAAAAAAAATGTATAGGCAATTAATTGCTTAGCAAGTGAACAAACACAATTTCTTTAATATATAATTTGACCCTAGGGGGTTTGACCACAGGTGTTTTCTCAGCAGTGGGTCTTTGATCACATTTGGTTTGTCCAATGCGGGCGTTTGATAACAAGCGCTTTGTCCATATACGGTACGGGTTAATTTTTAAAATTGGAATCAAATACAAACGATTGGCGATGGTGTAGCACGAACAAATAATATTGTGAAGGATAGTATTACAGTCTTCAGTCTCTCCTCCAATGTAGTCACCCAACAATGTGGCGTCTCCTTGAAGGTGTACATATGGACTGCAGACAGCCAAGGAAAACTTTCTTGCAAGGTGTCACTGGAGCAAGCTACCCAGCTGAGAATCTATACAGAATGCTGCACGAAAAATTACAACGTGTTGTTTAGACATATGGTCAAACTATTGACATATGTTCAAACAGATGTACTGACATATTGTCAAAAGCACAGTATCTAAACACCAAGAAATCCACATCACTGTCGGTGATTAGTACAAAAGGTACGTATCAGAAGCTCATTGCCACCTGTCGTCGATTAGTACAAAAGGTAGGTATCAGAAGCTCATTGCCACCTGTCGTCGATTAGTACAAAAGGTAGGTATCAGAAGCTCATTGCCACCTGTCGTCGATTAGTACAAAAGGTAGGTATCAGAAGCTCATTGCCACCTGTCGTCAATTAGTACAAAAGGTAGGTGTCAGAAGCTCATTGCCACCTGTCGGCGATTAGTACAAAAGGTAGGTATCAGAAGCTCATTGCCACCTGTCGTCGATTAGCACAAAAGGTAGGTGTCAGAAGCTCATTGCCACCTGTCGGCGATTAGCACAAAAAGTAGGTGTCAGAAGCTCATTGCCACCTGCAGGACTGTGACGAAAAGATCTGACAGTGACGAGACGATCATGCTGGTTGTGATGCCAATTCTGGTGAAGATGGTGATGTTGTAGATGTCTTCATCTTATCAGTGTCTGGCTGGAGACAGTGACGCTGCAAGATTCGTTCGTCAGACACACATTGTGTAGCCACCACTTAAAAGAAAGTTAGAGACCTTATATATATATATATATATATATATATATATATATATATATATATATATATATATATATATATATATATATATATATATATATATATATATATATATATATATATATATATATATATATATATATATATATATATATATATACAGGAGGGGGCCCTATTTTTCAAGTCCCGCCACTGACCGCATTTCTACCCTAGCACCATCTCAAACAACTGTGATTTATATTCATGTAAGGAGTATAAACTTTTGTAATTTAACATGTTCTAATTGTTTTAACGTTTGAAATTACTCGTTAAACCAAATTTCAACAAAAAGCCGGTAAAATACTTGCAAGCTTCCCCACCCCGTCGAGATCCAGGAATTGCGTGTTTGTGTTGTGAAGAAATCTGCTAACTTGACAGAACAGGATCTGAAGGATTTTTGTAACCAGATGTTCATAGACACCAGGAAAATGGTGGAAAAACTGGCCACTGAACATTTCCAACAATGATTGGCTACACACAGCCTTCGAGTCTATGTGTCATCTTTTATAGATTTTAAACTCAATTTTGTATCTACATTTTACGAGGTTTCCTAAAATATTATTTTAATTTTTAAATCAAATTTACCTTTGGAGTAATCGTCAAAATAAAGCACTAAGACGGAAAGATAAAAAATTGTATACAAGTGTGTCACTTGCAGACAGTAGTGACACTGCTTGATAGTGTTGTTTTGTATGTCATAAGGTCAACTATTGTAAAAAACATATTTCGTTGAGTTTCGTTTAAGCATGGCCAGACCTGAAGATGACTAAACATAAAAATGTGGAAGTTAAAATACGACAAATGTTGAATGTTGAAACATGAAAGTTTTAAATATTGAGTTAAAATATACGAGTTTTAAAATATAAGCGTACGTATATATGCGTCAAAACACAACATTAAAAAAAATTAATGGCATTCATGTTTTCAATGCAGTTTTTTATGCCCTCACTAGCCTTTTGTGCAGAGGCGTAGCGACCACTCCCGGCGCCCGGGGACAAACTTTCGATTTGCGCCCCCGCCCCC